CCCCCCCCCCCCAAAAAAAAAAAAAAAAAAGTTTGAGGGCATTTAGATTGAATTTTCATGTGTGTGAGCGTTTCCGATGTTTTTTAAGTGTGAGAGAATTTCCCTTTTTTCCTGCTAAATATGAAGGCATTTTTTGGAACTCTAAAAGTGAAGCTTACCCAAGCCAAAAGCAGGTTTCTTTGAAATACATATTATAGATGGAAACAAATAGGTTTACTCCTGCCCCTATTGACATACCAGGGTCATTGGTATATTTAAGCTATATAAAATTTTCACTTTATGTATGTACGCAAAAGAGGAAAGAAGGAAGGGAAACACTGGCCACAGATTCACTTCCTTGTCGATAGAACCTGCGCTAAGTTTAAAATTTTGGGGAAGGGGGAACTTGTAAGCACAAGTGTGTGTTGGAAAAAATCCACATAAAAGTTAAACAATCCGGATTCGTTCTGTAGGTTGAACTACAAGGATATACAACACCTCTAGCAATAAAAGGGATACCATTGGATAAAAATAAATGAAAAAGATAAAGCTAAATTCAACAAGGAGCTTTTGGATATTGAAGGAGATAATAACAATTTAAGGTAATTGTCTTAAATTGATCTTCTGTTATAGCTATCTTAGCTCAAGAGATGATATAGCAAGGTAAACTCAGGCTCTAGGTTAATTCTCAAAACTGAAATTATTGTAGCACTTTAAACTCATACCCCTTCAGTTTCTTTCAAGCAACATTTGAAGGGGCGTGGGAGACAATTTTACAAATGGAAATACATTTTATAATTAAGTATAATGTATTTACATGGCATGTTTTTATTTTTAGATACATGTCACAATATCTGGTGTGCCCTTAAATTGTGTACAAGAGTTGCAAAAAGACGTGGATAGTTATACGCACAAAGTGTTGTTGGGAGTTACCACTGGACAAAATTAAGTGAAAAAGATAGAGCTAAATTCAACAATGAGCTTTTGATTATTAAAGGAGATAATAACAATTCATTGAAGATTAATTTTGCCAACAAAAAAAAAGAAGGAATTGTCTTAAATTGATCTATTGTTATAGTTATCTTAGCTCAAGAGATGATATAGCAAGGTAAACTCAGGCTCTAGGTTAATTCTCAAAACTTAATAACCTAAAATATCAGTGGTTAATTTCTAGCCCACCAACAATTACATAACTTGCACTATTTTGTTCATAGAATTTTCTATGCATTTTTAGTTTTCATTTAATATAGTTGTCTTACTTTTCTTTAATTTAGGCAATTAACTTTCCTCACACCAGCCTTCAGGCTCGTTGAGCTTTTTTTTTAATTTATCAGACTCATAGTACAATACTTGCGTCGTAGAGTTTCTGATTAGTTTTTTGCTGGTGAGGCTGGCTGACCTTGCTGCAAGAATCTTGCAGACTTGAAGCTTTCGGTCATATCTTAATTTCAAGTAGGTACCATTAAATTAGATACATGGAGATCCTCTCAAAATCTACTTTCCATTGGCTCAGTTTCTGCTGGATCCCAGTTCTCTTAGAGGAGTCATATCAGGAATATTACAAGCTGCATAGAAATTCTATAGAGCAGTTGAAATTCTTCTATGCAGGAACTACTTGTGTATCCAGTATAAATGAAAGTATACACGTTAGTTGGCATGAATCTTGAGTTCTAAATAATACATGCCAAGGAAAAATACCCGACCATATTACTTGAACCATTGCGTATTACTTCCATAATATATTAGCATTTTTACCTCTAATTAAAAAGGTGAGGATATGCTAGTCACATGAATACTTGTATTACATAAGGGCCATTGTTTTTACAAATATTCTAATATTTTAGAAAAAAAAATTACGCTGAAATTTTAAACAAATATTCTATCTTTCTTGGTCCCAACCAAACCCCACTGCTATACCTAATAATATCGTATCTAAATCCGAAATTTAATTCTAATTCAATTTACACGTGTATCTAATCATAATCTATTTGAAACTCCAACACAGGAAAATTATTTAGCGAAGCATATGATCAGTCAATGAGTATTTTTATTAAAATTCATTCACTGACAGAATTTATGATTTATTTTAATTAAATAGTATCTTCTAAAAATTTGAGTTCTCATGCTCATGCTAAAACATCAGGGTTTTAATTTTCAAAAATATATTAGATTGACGGTTAGGAGAATAGATATATAAAATTGAAGTTATGATAGATAATTTAGCTAATTATTTCTTCTTCAATAAATTAGATGAAGCAATATTTTAAAAGACTAAAAATAATTAAGTTGCTCCTATAATTTGACATCATAAGAAGTATATGTATGAGTAAAAGAGACTTTTTTCCCCATAATTTTTTTAAAAAGCAGACAAAATACAATCTCTACAAGGGGGAAAAACCAAAGATAACTTTTGTCAAATAAAACTTATAAAAAGATCCTTAAATTTCTAGCATCATCATATTCACAAGTAAACCCATCAAAATCTAACCTATTTTTGGCTTCACGGCTGCGCATTGGGATATGATTGTTTGGAATAGCAATTGCTCGTGGAGATCCCCATCTGCAATAATAAAATAAAAAAATGATTTTTTAAAGAAAAAAATGACTAATAAATCATAAAAAAATTCAAAAAAAAAAAAAAAGGACCTGCGACGATTAGCAGTGTACATGGGCGGATTGAGAGAGAAACTAAAGACAGCGTCCCTCGTCCATAGGATTGGATTCATCGCCATTGATGATGTTATCATAATTTTATTTTTGATTCAAAGAAATTAATAAGAAAAAAATTTAGAAATTCGAGGGCTGCCGCCTCTTTGAATTAGCCCTAAAGTCACCTGAAGGTGAGAATCAAGATGGAAGTGATTCAAGTGAAGGACACGCATGGAAACATGTATATATAGTAAGGGGCTGTTTGGTTGTTGTTGGTAAAGTTGTGTATTTATGACACAACTTGGAAAGTTGTTGTCCACCTCATCAATTTCACTTTTATACTTTTCTTTGTTTGTTTTTGATTCCATTAGAATCATAAAACACTTGTTTGGTTTGCAAAATAAAACTTTAATTGTTTGTTTGGAAAGTATAAAAAGTGGTCCCTACTCAAATGATCATATTGGTTGGAATTATTTTTTATTATTTTTTCCTAACTTCAATGTTACTTTTCTCCTAAAATCATGTCTTTTTTTCATGAAATCACTTTACAAGCCACATCAGCATATGAAATCACTTTACACTGTTTTCACAACTACAAACAAACAATTGAAAGTGATGAAAGCTGACATTGGGACCCACTTTTTTACACTTTACATCCTTTTACATGGTAAAAACATACAACCAAACAGCCCCTAAAGGGTATTTTTGTAGATAAGCATTTTAGTTTGTATCTTGAAAATTCTTTTATCAACCTTGACTTTTCTTAGGAAAGGGAGGATGTATCTGCAATTTATTCTTGGGTCTTTTTATATTAGTCCGCCACATATTTCATCTTTTGAAATTAGTTCACCACATCTTCATATTTTGAAATTAGTTCACCACATCTTCATATTTTGAAATTAGTCCATCTAAATTGTTTAATGTATTGAATTAGTCCCCCAAATCTTTCAACCGTGTGCCAACTAGCAGCACTAATTTCAAAACAATTAACATCTTTGAGAAACTATAATTTCAGAATACTTCAAAGATTTGAGGGACTAATTCAAAATATGAAGATATGGAAGATATGGAGGAGGAAAAGGAGGAAGACAGAATTATACATTTCGTTAACTTTTGAGCTGTGTAGAAGAAGATCTTCAGAGTTTTTGCCAACTGTTGTAATACCTGTTGTGCGCAGCGGAAATTTCGGCAGAGTTTCTGGTGCACAATAAGAGAGAAAGATCGATAAGAATTCTTGTTTCTCAAAGGGAACAAGAATCTGAAAGCCTAATATCCCATCAAAGTGGGATATTAGCTCTTCCTCTCGTCAGCTCTAAGACTGCGCGTCGAGGGATCCTAAAAAACTATTACAATGGCCACAAACTCAAACAACCAATTTTATGTGGTTCGGCAAACTGCCTACGTCCACGGGGCAAGGAGGGGGATCTACTATTACAGAGAAAATACAATAGGTTTACAATCTCACAAAATAAACCCTCAAACTAACTCTCTAATCTCTCACAAAAAAACAGCCACCAAATAGGATTTTTCTCCTCTGCACGAAGCCCAAGAAAAATCCACAACAGCCTTTTGCACGCGGTCCAAGCCTCTGCCTTTTGCACTTGCACCGAACCCAATGGAGAGAGATAGCCGCAATTCCCCTCTGTACTTTTTCACCAAGCCTGCTCTTGCACTAGCTCTCTGTAGCCGCACAAATCAATCTCTTGCTTGTACCCCTTTTCACCGCCTCCACATGCACCAATCCTTCACGAAACCCTAGAAGGGTATTTATAAAGTTCTGATGCGACTTCGGGTGGGCTATTTTCATTTATGTTTGCAACGAAAAACGGTCATTTGTGGGCTCGTGAACTCTCTTCACGCGGAGAGTTTTGAGGTCACGTGGGTCTGGCCCACCACACATCCCATTCGTTCACAATTCTCCACATCGGCGAAGTTTTCTCAAAACTGAGCCGACACCAACCAAAACAAATGTCTCACTTGTTGTGTCCAGTACGAAGTGAAACAATTCACGACAACAGACTCAATCCATAACAAGTCGAGAACCCAAATGAGAGTGCAAACACTCTCCAAATATCGGTATCAACTCACCAAATCGATCTCACCCCCATCAAAACCCAAACCGGCTGCATCGTAAAGACTGCCTATGTATCCTCTTGCCTAAGGAATCAAGCCGAACGTAGTTCACCCAAATAGTCTCCAAAGGCCTCAATCCACTAGAAGAGTTCGCAACCCTTCTCTAATATCATCAACTCTGCGGCTGATAGCACCTCCAATGGCCTCAAACACCTCCATCTGAGGTGAACCAATGACCATATCCAAGCTACATCTGCCAGCTGCACTCGATTCAAAACCTAACTCATCATCTGCATCCAAAACCAAATGATCTCCAAGCCGTGTCACCTCAGCTTGAATCCCAAATAATGCAGTATGGTCTGGAGTAATCTTCACCCAATATGGAGTAGCATCACTCTCCACCCGCTGCGATACCTCTAAGGTCTGTCCAAAACTCTCCACCTGCTGAGAGTCAATTGGCTCCCTCATCGAAGCCTCAACCAAAGTGACACTACCAGACCTATCTTCTAATGGAGTTTTACCTCCAATCACAGCAGTTGACAACTCTTTAATAGGATGACCCAAATATGTCGAAGCCTCTGTCCAGAAACTCTTCTGCAAACCATTGCTCGACCACAAACACCGATCCTCCTCCAGAAAGGTACGGTTCTCCAAATTTGTCACTCTATCTAGTTGTCCCAAGATTTCCTTTCTAACGAAGTGTCTCGAAATACCGTGAGCTCGGCTCCAATACAGAAATAGGTCATCTTGTACCTCCCACCAGAATAGAGTACCTTCACCTTTCTGTCTATCACACACTTCTTCAATCTGTTGGATACTACTAGGACTTTCTCCAAAGGGGATTTGGTTGCAACCCAAACACGCCTAGAACAGCCACCAACAAAGGAAACCAAACGCCTATTACCTCCCAATGATGCCCCCTTGGAAGGCCCCCAAACATCCACGTGAACTCCTCCAGAACGACCCTTAGCACGGTGAATAGAGGTGCCACACTTCACCTCGGTCTTCTTGCTCACATCAACATGTTCACTGGACTTTAAATTGCAGGTCTTTACACCCTCTTTCAATTTATGCGAGGAATCAATACTGGAATGGCCAAGCCCCAAATGCCGCAGTCTAGTCGAATCAACAGAAGTCGCCAGCTCTCCACCTGTCACTATACCTCCAGTCAAGTAATACATGTTATTCCTCCTGATGCCCTTCATCAAAATACGAGAGTCTCTCACAATCTCGAGAACCATGTCCTCAACACGAACCTTCAGACCCTCTCCAACCAAAGCTCCAATTGAGATCAAGTTCTTCCTCAAAGAAGGAACATATCTCACATCATTTAACTCCCTAACAGTCCCGTCAAACATCTTGATGCGAATTTTTCCTATCCCAAGGATCTGGCATGCACGGTTATCAGCCATGTACACCACACCACTATCCACCAGCTTCTCAAAACTGGAGAACCATTCCCTTCTAGGGCACACATGATAGGTCGCACCACTATCCAACATCCATTCAGATTCCTCCGAATAGCTATCTGTAGGACTGATAGAAAGCGAATAAATAGAAGAGTCAGAATTATTACCATCCGATACGATATTTGCTTCTGATGATGGCTGCTTCCCCTGCTTCCCTTTTCCCTTCTGCTTATTCTTTATCCATTCGTCGATCTTTGGGCAGTCTTTCTTCCAATGACCAGTCTCCTTGCACCAAGCACACTGATCTTTTCCTACTCTAGACTGTGACTTCTAATTCTGTCAGTTCAGATTCTTCCCTCTTGCGACCAACGCCTCTGCTACCGACTCAGTCGAATTCTCCTTATCCTTCTTCCGAAGCTGATAATTCACCAATGCAGCAGTGACCTCACTATACGAAAGGGATGCCTTCCCATTAATAAGAGTAAGGACGAAGGTCTCATATTCCTCATCGGGCAAGGAACTCAATAGCAACAACGCCTTGTCCTCATCTTCAATTATAACATCCACGTTCGTCAAATCCGCAAGAAGCTTCGTGTAGTGGTTCATGTGATCTCTAATGGAGGTTCCCTTCTTCAATTGGAAACGATAAAATCTCCTCTTCAAATACAAGCGATTTTCCACACTCTTGGTCAAATACTTGCTTTCGAGAATCTCCCAAATCTTCTTTGCAGAAGTCTCATTCATCACATCTTTGTGCCATTAAACTTCTTCACATCTATCTTCATAGAGTGGATATTCAAACTCTGAATAGTCTTCATGCCAGAAGCACCACCCTCGACACCCGAAGTACCTTCTTTCCCCGACATCTTACGCACCAACGAACGAAGAATAGATCCAAAACTAAAAAGATAGAGTTTTTACCAAAAGATCCCACCTTTATCACCAACGAAGCCCTAAACGAGCCTCTAAATTGATCTACTCCTCCAACCAAACCCTAGATCTGGAATCTGGGCTCTGATACCACTTGTTGTGCGCAGCGGAAATTTCGGCAGAGTTTCTGGTGCACAATAAGAGAGAAAGATCGATAAGAATTCTTGTTTCTCAAAGGGAACAAGAATCTGAAGCCTAATATCCCATCAAAGTGGGATATTTGCTCTTCCTCTCGTCAGCTCTAGGACTGCGCGTAGGGATCCTAAAAAACTATTACAATGGCCACAAACTCAAACAACCAATTTTACGTGGTTCGGCAAACTGCCTACGTCCACGGGGCAAGGAGGGGGATCTACTATTACAGAGAAAATACAATAGGTTTACAATCTCACAAAATAAACCCTCAAACTAACTCTCTAATATCTCACAAAAAACAGCCACCAAATAGGATTTTTCTCCTCTGCACGAAGCCCAAGAAAAATCCACAACAGCCTTTTGCACGCGGTCCAAGCCTCTGCCTTTTGCACTTGTACCGAACCCAATGGAGAGAGATAGCCGCAATTCCCCTTTGTACTTTTTCACCAAGCCTGCTCTTGCACCAGCTCTCTGTAGCCGCACAAATCAATCTCTTGCTTGTACCCTAGGGTGCATGTGGAGGCGGTGAAAAGGGGTACAAGCAAGAGGTTGATTTGTGCGGCTACAGAGAGCTGGTGCAAGAGCAAGCTTGGTGAAAAAGTACAGAGGGGAATTGCGGCTATCTCTCTCCATTGGGTTCGGTGCAAGTGCAAAAGGCAGAGGCTTGGACCGCGTGC